CTCCTTCGCCCGAATATTTTACGATTACGTCCTGTGCTCGGATGGCCGCCTTCCGGCGATCGCAGTCCGGCCCAAGAAGCTCCTTGCTCCATCGCCGTCCGGCCATCACTTGTGGACTACGTATATACAGTAGTATAATTTATAAACCCGCAGCTTTGGATGGAACCCTATTCTTGCGTCATAACCCGCCCACCCCGCGTCATCCCGAACTCATCCTGCTCATAGAGGGCATGGTGCTCCCGCGGTCTTCCCGAACTCATCCACCCCAGTCTTTGCTCCTCATCCCTCCTGCTCCACTTCCCGAACTCGTTCCATCCGAGGAGCCAGGTGCCGATAACCACCATCCGAAGCGCTTGGAGGTCTGAGAAGTTCCTCGGACGCCGCCACAAACTGCCGGTGTGAACTCAGTAAGCACATCGCTACTAGTAACAAGGGCATTACTACTAGTAACAATAAGCTACTAGTAGCGATGCACTTGTTATTAGCTTCTTGTTGCTAATAGCGTCCTTGCTACTAGTAGCTTCTTGTCACTAGTAGTAGTGCCCTTGTTCAGGACTCCACCACCTCAGCGTCCATATTGGAATGGACTCCAAAGGACGGATACTCTCTGTCACCCTTCTCATCTCTTCTCAAGAAGAGAACAACCAGCAGCGTCTGGTGTGGCTCGGGTCTGGGTAAGACGTCGCAAAAATCAGCGGCAACTGCGGAAAAAAACATCTCAAGAGATCAATGATCAGAGACAAAAACTCCAAAAGATTGCTGAAAGAAATCATTCAAGGTGCCCTTGAAATGGATTGTCAAAAAGCTCTACCTCAGCATCACTGCGCAGAAATGTGACGTCAGCTCGCCAAACCCCAAAACATGGTGTTTGAGGTATCAGTTCTCTGAAACAGCTACAGTAGAATCTAAGAAGGCTTTAACTACAACATCACCTTTGCAGAGTGTCCAATACCAGCCAACATGGTCAAACAAGCCTTGAGGTCCTCTCTTGCAAACGTGTCAGTCACTGCCCACTCGTCCTCGGGCTCGATGAGCCAGGTATGAAGAAGTTTGAGTTGTTGAGGTGTTGATGGTTGTTGGCATGTACTGTCTGGATGATGCTGGACCCCAGCTAGAAAAAGGGACACCAGTCATGCCACTAGTCTCAGTAGCGACCTTTGATTGACACTCCAAACTCTTCTGTTTGGTGTTTGGTCACTAATTTTGTTCGCCGAAATCGCCGCGCTTGGACCCCCACGCGAGCTTCTCCTCCTTCGCCCTTGCAGTCGATTCGGAAGCGCCCGGAGATCCTGGGGTTACTTTGACCGCGCACGGCTTCGCTCTAATCGCTTGGACCAGAGACCATTGGACCAGACCTTCTGGAGAAACCTGACCTTTTGAGTGTTCAGTCCTTGGTACCATCTGATACCTTCTGTATGTGTATAAACCTTCCATCAAAGTGCAACACAAGTTACGTCTGGAAATGTGTTGGAGTTATTCGTGTCATCATGAACAATGGATATCAGAGGTTACATTTTTGGGAGCATCAGGACTAACACAAACATCTTCCACTCAACAAACCATTCGCACAACCTCTATAGAAAAATCTATATATAATATGAGTCATTATGAGTCAATTAGTGAAAATAGACTAAAACCTCCTGCTCAAAAAAGACAAGGATCAGCATATCTTTGAAAGCATCCTGCACACCTTAGCACAGGGTTGTCGGCATCCAGACAGGTCTTCTGCCAGCACACTACACTTCCATCATTCTCTACTTACACAGTTTAAGCACGTCAACTTGTGTTTATTATTTACATTTACATGATCTACAACACTGTGGATTCAACACGCATGTGTTGCGAATAATCATCACGGCTACGACATGCTAGCCAGGCTCTGTATTTCTCTTTAGGACTGCAACATTAGAATTTCATGAGGCAAAAGCAAAGCACAACGGCCCATGTTCCTCAGCGGTTTCTGATTTTTTTCAACCACATCCAACAATAAATACTGAAATACTACATTTACATACACCAACTTTAGTCCAACATAGTCATAATGGGGCGATTGGTTCTTTCCATCCCGCCTAACTCCCAAACAACCGCATGGCATCACCCCAAACAGCGCACCACGATGCACCACCCCGGGCCCTGTGCTTTTAATCCGCGCCGACCGCGCCACCGAATCTCCGCGCGCGCAACTGACCGTTGTCGGCACCATCTCACCCGGCAGGGCACAGCTTTGAAGCTCGATCTCCGTGAGGTGGTTGATGTGTCGACCGCCAAAGGTCGGCTCACTGCGCACCACCTACCGGAGTAGGCGCGCCTACGTCGATATTTCTGGGAGAAGGGTGAGACGACTGGTGAGACGATACAGTACGAATGTCACTTCGTCCATAAATAGCTGCCATTCATGCTAGCATTTCAGCCTCTCACAAAGATTCAGTCTTCGAAAAGGATCAAACAGGGAGTCCTTTCACTCGAGAAGCGCACATTAGGAAAGCAACTCGGAGATGGCCTGACTCAGAGATGCCCTCCAAAATGGTTTCTTTCTCAGCCCACATTGGTCAAACAAAGGCGGTCTGGAGACTCATAAACACAGGGATTGAAGAAAGAGCTCCTGCACCACTTTATGATGGAACTTGGTGGTTCGCCAGGTGGTGCCACGGTCTTTCAAAGATGACCAGGTTGCCCGTCCCAGGGTCCCGATGTCGGGGTCAAATCCACATGATGGTGCAGAAAAATCTCCTGACTGGAACTATCGAAAGTCATTGGGTGATGGAAAATGCAGGGAGTGCAGTTTAAAGTCAAGTCCAAAAGCATGGTAACAAAGAAGCTTTAGATGCATTGGAACTGTTGCACAAGGTAGAGAACACACCAAATGTGCAGGTACAAAACACTTCTGGGATGCTTGTGGCAAAAATCCTGGGGCCCGGTTAACCCTTGAAAACTAAGCCCCCCTTTTGCAGCGGTGCCCCAATAGTACCCCTTGGTATGATGCTGACGAGCGCCACAACAGCGAGGATAAGCTTTGTATCTAGAGGCCTATATTGCATGAATCCACACATGTCCAAGCATCCTGACAAGCATCTGATCTTAGGCATGAACCCAGCGGAGGCCCTCCAAGTTTTCTATGATCCTATACGTCTCAATTTCAGTTAATCAGTTCATGCCAGCACTGTCTCCACAATGGTCGCCTGCATAAAACACGCGCTACCATCGTTTACCACCAGGTTGTAGAAGTAGAAGCCAATGACCTGCGGATCGGAGGCTCGCATGTGGGTGACACAACAGGTGAGACAGGATGACATGTACCTTTCGAAATGGTGAGAGGATACGTCCAAACAGACCTCCTTTTGACGCTGGAGGGAACTATTTATGGGCAATCCTGTGGCTCAGAATTCATGTTCAAACCGTTGAGCGAAGACGCCGCGCGTCTTCACCTGGCAAACCACGACCCGGAAGCATCTGCAAACAAAGCTTGCGCAGTCCAAGAACCAAGCTCCGAAGCTTTCGGAGCAGGTCACTGAATGTTCCCCAATCGTGGAGCTCCCACACTGACACCGTGCTTCCCTGTGTGATCGAACACTGACACCGTGCTCCACTGGGTGGCCCCGGCGTAGACAGGCACCAGCTCAACCTTGGATCAGGAGATGTCCAAGAAACGAAACACAGATGACATGTTCAGCGCAAAAAATGATTATATATATAATATATGCAACTATAATCAAATTTATTCAAATTTATAATTGGATGTTAAATCAAAGCAACACAAATCAGCCCATTTCTCACAGTCAACGTAAAGAACAGAGCAAAAAGGAGAAAGGGTTCAGTCCATGTCTTCCTGGCCACGCACAAGAAATGGATGATCGCCGTGGGAAGAAACTCCAGCAAATCCATGGCACATGGGAGCGAACGGGAGCCGTTCGCCACGCACGGGGCTCCCGCGTCGCCCGGGGCGACCTGCGGGCGACCTTCGCAAGTCTAGTTGGGTTTCCAGCGGTGAGGATTCCAGCGGTCTTGGCTGATTTGAATGATCCCAGCTGTCGGAATGTGTTGGTTTTCGGAAGTTGCTGTGCAAAGCTCATAGACCAGCAGCAAGCCTATTGGTGGGCTGCAGATTTAGTGTCAAGATCACTCAAAAAGTACATGGATCCACATACCTCCAAGCGCAGGGCATTGTTAGCTCATGGTGAAGTCCCGGCGCGTCTCGGCGCCAAGTCTCCGGTTCTTTGTGAGACCGACTCCCCAGTGGATCCACGTGGCAACCCAGAAGTCTGGAGATCGTGGTCGTGTGTCGTGTGGCTCAGACTTCATGGCATGGTCACTTGTTGTAGTCCTGACCTCTAAACTCTCTAGTCCTGACCTGAGTCCGCTCTGAGAGCAGCTGCTTCATGTCTCCGAGCTGAAGAAGCTGCAAAAACAATCGAAATACTCATGCAATGATCGTCGTATGTGTGGAAAGACACGTACCTTCTTCAGCATCGAATCGTACATGTTGGGTAAAATTGTGGTCCTGTCCTTTCGTAGTTTGGCCTTTTCTCGAAACCTGTATAAGGTTAAACACCATCAATCATGTGCATGGCAAGTAGGATTTCTATGGGATTGTGACATTGTCATCCAATATCATCTAACTTCAAATAATCGGATTGTTTTTTCTTTCATGTATGTAACAAAAAATATCAGGGTATTCTATAGTCACTCGCATCTGGCTCCACATCATTCTCGGCCTACCGCCGGTTAGAAGGAACCATGCTGGTGGATTCGTCGACGGTACCGGACACGGTTGGCTCGATTTACTCCTGTCTGCGGGAAAGGACGTCGACCGCCCCCGCAGGCCCGGAGCACATATGTCGACATGGAAGATCCGGAGCACAACACACAACACACACATCATCATCACTCATCACGCATCATCACGCATCACTCATCGCTCTGAAGGCCGTTTGGGGTTTTCCGACGGGGCTTCCGGTGGGTTGACCACCGGGTCCAGCAAAACGCACGACGCTGCCGGTCGCGATGGGTCGCTCTCGGCTGAGGGCGGTACTCAACTGAAATGCAATCTGCTCCAGATCAGCCCCTGTCTTGCAGGCCTGGCCAGGCGAAAAATGCCCAAATCAATAATGATGCCTGTTTGTTGGTGTCTGCATCTAGAAGCACTTATGGACTCCTCACTCTTTACAATGCTGGGGAAGGCCCAGGTCATGACTAGATTGAATATAGAAAGAGTCAGTAGAGTAAACTGCTCATTGACAAAACTAGCAAACCTTGCTTTCTCACCAGCTCGTGTCTCTGTCGTTCCATCCCCATGAAGCAGAAACTCTGAACCTTGAGGCCCAAAAGCTGTGGGGCCTGTGAAGAAATCCATATCAATGTGATACTGGCAGCACTACCGAAGGCGAAAAGAAAGAGGTGAGGTCCACCACGAATCGAAAACACAGCAAGCTCTTGAGCTCTCAGTCTTTTCCAGCACGTCTCACGGTGCCCAAAGGTCGGGGCAGCCACCACCTATGGCGGCAAAAGGGTACGTGACAGTAGCGTTGCGTGATCAGTGATCACGATTGGCAAAAGGAATTCCTAAATGGCGGCGGGACTGACCAACGTCAACATGATCATGCTCATGGCTCTCATGCAAATGGCACAGCTTCTGAAATGGGCGAAAGGTTTTTGACAGAGGTCGGTCCCTTCGCTGGATGAATTCCTGCCAAGTGCAATCAGGCTCAAGTTCTACCTCAGACATGTCGTCCAAGCGGTCTTCCATGACCTTCGGCTTCTTCTTCGCTGCCGTGAACTGAGGGTCATACTTGACGTTCCAGCACTGACCACGGAGCATGAACAGCCTGAACTGGTCCTGGGCGGAGGCCTTGGTAAGGCCATCTGCTAATTGGGCTTCTGATGAAACCCAGAGCAATTGCGTGTCTTGTCGGACCATGTTCTCGCGAATGGCGAGAAGTTCAAGAGCTGAATACTTCTCCTTGAGGCTGAATGCTGCTGATGCACCTTCGCCTTTGTGGTAGGCATCAAAGGCAGACTTTGCGTCTATCACCAGTGCGCTCTTCACCAGCTTCGTCGACTGCTCTGGACACCTGGGGTTGAAAGGATGTCCAAGAAGCTCGCTCCACAAGGCACGGCAGAACATCACCTCCTGCTCGGCCTCACCAAGTGCCTGGAGCTCTGCTGAAAGAGAGCTTCGAGCAGTGCGATGGAGCTTTCCACTTCGCCAAGCAATCAAGTTCACAGGCGAGCGAACACCGGACAGGATTTGCTGATGGCATAGTCCAACAACATAAGCTCCTGTACTTGACAAGTCTGGCCGATTGGCCACAGCAGCATCGGACCATCCGATGATCACCAGCTCTGAGTCTGAGGCAGCTTCCAACTGTTGCACCTTCACAGAGACAAACCACGCTGCGCAAACACTTCACGGACCAACTTGTTGATCTGCACCAGCACGTCCTTGGACTCTTTTCCATGCGGAAGCATGGATTGAAGAAGTGAAAGCTTTGCCGCGTGCTGCGGCGCTGTTTGACTCACTCTCCATTGGATCGCTCCAAGAACTGCCTTGGCTTGCGACAGTTCTGATGGTGTCACATGGGAGCAGGATTTGTCAATCTCGATCTGCTTGATCTGCGAGGCATATTGCTCGTGACTGAGGTTGAAACCATAGTTCGCCTGCTGATGTACTTCGACACCACAGTGAATGTAAGGATCAGGTTCCCACGGGCTCCACTTCAAAGCTTGGTGGAAGGTGGTGAGCGTCTTCATCCATAGCTCATTGCTTTCATTGCCGGTCACTATGAAGTCGTCGACGTGACTGGCCAGAACACCTTGAACCACCCCTTGAGCGTCTTTGCAGATCCAAACGCAAGGTTCGCACACCAGGCGGATCAGACCACACTGAGTCGTGGCAATGCGATCGACATCTCTGTACCACTCACGTGGTGCGCTGACTAGCCCATAGGCTGCACGAAGAAGGCGTACAGCTTGCCCTTTAGGAACTTGTAGTCGATCACCAAGCTCATCAACTGGAAGTGCAAACACATCACGAGATTTCTGAGACTCGGAGCCCTGCAAAAATGCTGCCTTCACGTCGGCCTTGAGCGTTCGCCATCTTCTATGGCAAGCTAGGTTGAGGATCAGCTGACGGCTGCGTCGTGCCAGCGTGGGAGCGGCCTTGTCCAAACTTTCGCCATCAGGGTCAGAGAAACCCAAAATGACTATTCTTGCTTTGGCCTTGACCATGCCAGCTTTGTCAGGATCCTCCATGCTCTTGAACACTAAGACCCATCTCATCTTCATGAGCCTGGACTTGGGGACTTGCATGCCGGCCTTTTCCACCACCTTGTTGATTACCCAAGAATCCACCTCTAAACGCTTTGCCTCCATCATAGCTTGACGCTGAACTGCGTTCAGTTTGTGCCAGGCAATCTCACAGCCCTTTTGCACTGATTTTGCTGTGAATTTCTTTGGGTCCTTGAGGATGCGTCGCCATTCTTCCTCAGACTGAGGAGCTTCAATGACCACTGACATCACCATGTCATTCGAAGGCTCGGAGCACCAGCCAACCAAATCAGGGTTCTGGTACTTCTTGGGAAATTTTGCATGATGTGGTCGATCTTCTTGCTCATGCTTTCTCCGAGCTTGCTTGAAGCTTGACTCAGGCATAGACGCATCAGAACTAGGATCAGGTGGTTGGAGAGGATGAAGTGGCATGTACTGCGGGTCGTCCAAGAGACGTTCGATGTCCAGTTCACTGTCGTCAGGGTGCATCCCTTCTCGGAGGGTTGGATCCATGTGGACATCATCGTCATCAGGTACCAGCTCTTCAGATGACTCGCTGGCACCGGAAGGAGTGTACTCTAGGTCGTCCTCAGTCTCAATGGCCTGTCGCTTTGGCAACGGTGGGCGAAAGGTTTGTTTCCTCTTCAACTCAAAACGTTCTGCTCTGGACGAGGTGAGATCTTCAAATGAACCCTTTTGCAAAGAACTTGTCAACATGCTAAAGGTCCAGGGTGTAGCCATAGTGTTGGAGGCATTGGCAATGATCAACTCACGCTCACTTGCATGCCTCAACTGGTCCATGTGGGTTTTGAGAAGTCGCCCACAGCTGACCAACCACACTGTGCTTGAAGGTGCACAAATAGTGCCAGTCTCATCTCTTCTTGTCTCTGAGGCGAGAACACGAGCAGGGCCAAACCATCTGGCAATTCTCATCCTCGGCATGTCGACATCCACATTCGAAGGCGCCCTCCGGGGCGTGCGATGTCTCAGGTAGTACACCAAGTCGCCGGGGATGTACTGCTTCACTTTCTTGCTCCTGGAGTTCTGAGCTCTTGACAGTCTTGCTGAGGCAGTCAGCTTGTTGTGGAGATGTTCAGCTTCAATGCGCAAACGAAGGTTCTCAGCCATCTGATGACCAGGAGTGGCCTCAGAACAACATGCTGCAACATTCTCCTTGGCGTTCTCTGAGCGGCCAAATGCCCATTGAGCCGGAGCATAGCCACCAACTCTTGTGACGTGGTTGTGAGCTTGAACCATGGCATAGGCTGCCCTCTTTGGAGACACTGGCTCATTGCGAAGGAAGACTTCCATCTTGTGGCGTAGTTCACCAATTCCTCGCTCCACCAACCCAGTCGATGAATGATGTTCGGCTGGTGTGTGGATCATATCAATGCCTCTCTCGGCACACCATTGAGCCAGTGCAGTTCCTCTGAAAGCTCCCTCAGCGTCACAACGGAGTTTGGAGGGATACCCAAAAATCTGGCACCAACTCTCTTCCAAGGCCTCAATGGCCTCACCAGTCGCCACATTCTCAGACTGGTCATCAGCATGACTTTTGATCTCTTTCACCACGGCAAACGAGCTTGCCTCGTCCATGAAGAGGATGTAGTGGTACACCCAGTTTGCATGCCGGAAGTAGAACCCATCCATTTGAAGAGTTCGCCACAAAGTTTCTTCCCGCTCAGTGGAGACCTTGGTGAGCGGGATGGCTGTCTGGCTTTCAAGACATTCGGGGCACTTCAACTCCATCACGGCAGCCTTCAGTTCTTCACTGGCACCTCGGGCTTGAAGAAGTTTCAACATGGCTCTATTGTTGGGGTGTCCACAAAGACGGTGCAGCTTGAGGGCGGATTCCATGAGCCGCTGTAGCTCCAAGGGAGTCATGCGAGCCAGTGTTTCCTTCTCAGGCTCTTGGACAGCACCGATCATCTCTTTGTCCTTCATCATGCCTTGAGCTGCAAGTCGACAAAGTTGAGGGGTGTAGTATGCTGACTGCTTTGCACGTTGCCCCAAACAAGGAACATGGTGGTGTGAACCATCACATTCCCTCTTCAAACTCGTCAAAGCATGGGGCGAGGTGCACATGAATCGCCAAGGCTTCTTCACAGGGCCATCTTCCGATGAGAGCCCAAACATGCAGCCATCTCCAAGAACTTCATGAGCTCGGTTCACTTCAGCGAGCTCTGCCCAAAAGTGCTCAACTTCCGGAAGCCTCCAGGCTTTGTTTGACTTCGGCCATTCCCAAGCAATTTCTCCACCTTGGGCCAAGTGTGCGCGTAGTACACGAAGTCCTCCACGCAAGACCTTTCTCGCATGCCGCTTTCTGTAGCGGCTTTTGATCATTCCTTCTTCAGTTCTTTCGTTGAGGGCCTGGACAGCCGAAGTCGGGCCACATGGAAAGCTAGCCCAAATCCACCGAGGTCGATGAAGTCGAAGTAGTTCCAAAGTTTTCTCCACTCCCTCTTCTCTGGTCAAATCACAGTGGTTGTGCAAGCCTGCACGGCCACCGTATCCTCCAGCTGCATGCACAGCTTGGATCAACAGGCTTTCGGGGCCACAACATAGTTCAAGCACGTCCCAGTGCTCTCGTGCAGCAATGCCTCCATGAGCCAGGAAGATCTCGTCATTCTCCATCACCAGCTCATTCATAGCTTCCCAAGCAAATGCTGCATCTTTGTCGCTCAGCCGAGCGTCATAGGGGATGTCCTCCTCAAAGTTCTCCATGGCAGGTGGTTCAAAGGACTTGCCATCGGTCATCACCGGGTCATTCTTGAAAAGGTGGGCATTCGGTGGAACTTTGACATTCGGAGGG